TATATATATATATATATATAATAATAATAATAATTTATAAATTTCATAAAAATTTTTGTTCATTACGAATCGATCATGTATACGATTTTCATTACTTATAGTTATTACAAACTTTGAACTTCAAGTAGGGTAGAAGTACCGTTTGTGGCCACTGTACCATTTATGGCCATTTATTGTTTAAATAAACGATAGAAATGAATTTATATTAATAAACTATTACAAACTCAATTTGTTTTAATATAAATTTTTTAAAACTCAGCAAAAATATGGTTATAATATTATAATTTTTTATAAATTAGTTAAAATGTTAACTGGCCAAAAACGGTGCTAAGGTGGCCAAAAACGGTACTTCTACCCTAAGTCTAGTAGGTAAACAGGTAGTGAATCAGTCTTCCAAGCGTCAGGTCCCAGGTTCGATCCCTGCCCACGCCAGATATTTTTATTTCTATGGAAATAATTATATATAATTCTATACAATTTTATACAATTCCATACAATTTTATATCATTTCTATCCAATTTTATCGGGCCATTTTTTTTATATAATTATATATAATTGTATCTAATTGTATAAAAATTTTTTTACTCCGGTACTGTTTCATTTTCTTCATAAATCAAATGAAAAATCAATAATCTAATAGATCAAGTAATAGATCAAGAATAATTAATATTCAAATTAATTTTCGTTACAGGAGGGTGAACAAGGGTACTTGGAAGGACTTGCATCAAAATATGCAGATATTTTTCAAACACACTTTGGAGATGTTCTCGAACCTCTTGAGGAACTGCGACAACGTGAGACAAATACTTCATCAAAAATTTCAAATACTCAGCTTACTACCAGTTTTTCACAACCAATTTACGTACCTGGGAAATACTCAGTAAGAAAAAGAAATTTTAATTATTGGTTTATAATTAAAAAGTATCTCATTTAAAAGAATTGCAAATACAGTACTCAACCACTAATCATGAATTATTTAATTTCATTCATGTCCGTTTATAAGATTAGATAAATCCTACAAAAATCTATCATTAAATGAAACCAAGTGTGAGTGTAAATTACACAAACTTATTGTTGAAAATATGTAGTTAAAAAGTGTTTTTTTTTTTTTTTTTTTTTTTTTTCAAAAGTTGTCTTTTTTTATAAGCTATCACTATTGAGCTTACCAAATTTCAAACACAATTTGATTTAGTTTTTAACTTCCCGCTAAGAAAATTGAAAATTTTCAAAAATCGGGAAGTTATTGGTTTTACCCCGTTTTTCGAAAATCGAGTTTTCATCAGATCTCGACGTTTTGAGGTCCTAGGAAGCTTCCCTGACTATTCAGGGAATTCCCGGACAATTCCCGCGATGGTGTCCGTGCGGCTGTGTGTGTGTGTGTCCGTGCGGCTGTGTGTGTGTGTGTGTGTGTGTGTGTAAACCTCTTATAACTTTTGAACGGTTAAACCGATTTCATCGCGGTTGGTGCCATTCGAAAAGGCTTCGCCTTAGGTTTCCTGAAAATTTGAACCGATTCGGACCGATAGATTTTGAGAAATTTGGAGAAATCTAAAAAAAAATCGAAAAAAAATTTTTTTAGAAGTGGTTTTTTTGGAATAACTTTTAAACGGCTTTACCGATCGATTCCAAAAACTGATCAGCTCTCAACCTTGAAAAACCACGTCGATC